TCTTTATTGCGTATATGGTAAAATTGAATAAAAGTAATAAAACCATTTCTACCTTATATATTACTGGCATAACTTCATAATAAATTGCCTATTCAAAGAATAATTCCATATCAATGAAATCAACCTCTTACCCACGCAAGATCAGCTGAGGAAATGTAAACATTGAGTGATGATTGCATTTACAGCAACCTTTATCTTTCACTAAACTTTCAATAATCATCATGGCAGTGTTAATTACATCAGTAATAACATTTACGATAGCATAATATTCATTTCTCATTAAAAATCGATTATCATTTTGGTGTTAAATAATAACACAGTTTAGGGTGACATAGAGTGACATAGAACCGTACTAAAATAGATCTTGCAATCATTCAAAAGAAACAAACGCACATTTTAAAAAACCTCTAAGCGTGAAACAAAGGTAATAGGTAAGAAATGTTATTTTTATGTGCAGTAAAAAAAGCTATTTTAAAAGTATTTAAAGTAGAGAACTCTTAAAATATCTATCTATCTATATTATAAGCCTTCAGTATTCCATATATAGAACTCACACGAAGAACAGTAACACATTGTCTGATGATCGATTGAGGCGTGAAACAGCCAGTGCTGATTTATGTAACCACACTGCTTATATCATTTACTTCTCTCTCTCCCTTCCCTCAATATATATATATATATATATATATATATATATATAATGTGTGTGTGTGTGTGTGTGTGTGTGTGTGTGTGTGTGTGTGTGTGTGTGTGTGTGGAATGTGTAAAGGGCAAGAGTATTAACAAGGTGTTCTTCTTAACAAGATATATCTTCTACACTTTGATATATATATATATATATATATATATATATATATATATAACAGAGGTTGTCTGTGTGTCTGTGTGATACATTTTCAGTCGAGATCCATCCAACCGATTTTGACCAAACTTGTCATATACTTTGTACAATGTAAGAGATAGGTTCTAAGCGTAAAAAATTGATAATTTTAAAAAAATCAATAATAAATAAAGCCGATCAGACATCGATAAATTCACCTTCCTCCGATTTCGGTCAAACTCGCTATGTAGGTTACTTACATCATGAGTAGCTCAACGATGCCTCATTTTTATTTCTACGCCACTGCGTTTACCGAAAAACCGTGAAAATCGAAAAATCGATTTCAACAAAAATCTATTTCAAAACTAATTTTAAATTAAATAATCCATCACTTTTCAAGCAATCTAATACAAACTTCATTAAATTGTAGCCATCAATAAGTTGATTGTTTAACAGTCATTTAATTTGATAATTGAATCCACCTATTTAGTGAAAACCCGCGTAAATTGCCAAAAATGGTGATTTTTACTGGTTTCTTTCTTATTTTTCGATGATCTTTCAAACAAATTTCATCAAACTTAACAATTGCTTTATAAATGTATCCTCTTTTAAATCCCTGGTAGCACACTGACAAATTGAATTTGAAAAACTCTAAAATAATTGTGGTCTGAAGTGGATCTTTATGTTGCCTGTTTTACCCCTTCAGATCTATGGCTAACTTTGATTGAATAAATACAGACTACTTCTGTTATATCAGTAACTGCATTAATTCAAAATGTTTTTTTAATGAAAGTACTTTAAAGTAATTGAAGAAGACAGACTCTGTTACATCTAAACATGATGTTTTTGCGCCATTCTAATTGATTTAAGGAATTATGATTTAAGATTTAAGAATATAATACAGATCTCTTTGAGAATAGATAATTCCAAGAAACTTCGAAGTCGGGGAACAACGTTATTGATATATACAATTAAGCAATTTTGCATATATATATATATATATATATATATATATATATATATATATATATATATGTCTTAAAATAATTGTAGAACCTTGTCCGTTCCATAAGGTGTGACGTCTTTTGTTTACATTTGATACGCCATGAGCAGATATGAATGTACGTGAGAGATTCATAGAAGATTGAAGTTTAAATAGAGTAAATCCGACCTTGCTAACCGAACGCGCCTCTGTAGCCGAAACGGTTAAAGGCACGTCAGGCTATATGACGGTTCCGTATAGGATACAGGTTCGAATCCTGTCGGAGAACGAATATTTTCTATGAAAATTTCCCGGATATTCAGAGATTATTCAGGCCGGTAAATGTTGTTTAATACTGTTTATTATAAACAGAACATTTACTGAAATATTTGTATCTATAAAAAGAATGTATAAACATAAAAATGTCTTAAAATATATATATATATATTAAGAAAGAAACAACCTTAAGGTTCCATGAGTATAATTTATTCCCTCAGAGAATATATTTTTCCTGGTTCATCAGGTCACATCTCTAGTTACCTAGTCAAGGAATCCGAAGATTGTCTCTTTATCTTAATTATTTAATTATTTAATTAATATTTGCTCTGGTTTTACATTGAACTCTCTGGATCACATCCTATTTGGAATTATCCACACGGATTACCAAACCCTTCGTTACCTTACTATATATATATATATATATATATATATATATATATATATATACCACGACTCTAACTGTAGAAGTGATAACATAATTTACCTCCTAGAATGCACAGTATGCCAGAAATAATATGTAGGAAAATCTGAATGGCCCTTTCACTACAGAATTAATAATTATCGTAATCGAATTAAGTCGACTCCCCATGAAAGATTATTACCTGTAGAACAACATTTCCGCCTGGAAAAGCACGATTTTAAAACCCATGCCGAATTCACTATAATTGAGAGAATAGAAAAGTTCAGAGCAGATAACATTAGAAAGATTTTAGAGTCCCATGAAAATAAGTGGATACAACGTTTAAAAACACACTATCCAGACGGGCTTATCCATAAAGTTAACAATATATATAGTATTAATATATAACCCTACAAATCAGGACCTACCTACATTCCTCACCCACACAAGACAGACATGCTTATGGAGGTGTTGAGACCTCACACTTATACACACACCACACTTACACATCATACTCACTCACTGCCAAATGAGCCAAATGATAACACACACCCATAGTAATATACACGCTTACACACATCATACCCACTCACTCACTCCCTAAGAACCAAATAACACACACACACTTAACAGAGACACATCCTCTTTCCAGGAACCAATAAAACTATCAAAATGACCAAGGAAATTTAGAGTAGATGCGGCATTCACCCTATTCTTATCTCAAATAACAAATTTCTTGGGACTGTTTGAACAAATACAAGGACCTACTCGAAATTTCATGTTAACAAAATAAAAAAAAAAAAAACAAATGAAAACTACAGAAAAAGTTCATTTTTCCATGCAGACATTCAT